TAAGGTTAGGTGTGGTTCCATATCTAGAAATTTTTGGACAACAAAAAAAGTTAATATGGTGCTTATACCATAATAGTACAAATATCATATATTATGTGATACTCCCCAGAAAGGTCCAGGATAGCAGCCCATAATAAAACACATGAATTATTTTCAACAATACGCTTGTTATGTGCTTTAAGTATATTACATTTATTCCTCACAACCCCCGCATAAAACTGGGTACATGACATCCAGAAAGCAAATTATCAGGACAGTTGTAGGTTTGCAGCCATCTTTATTAAACAAGTGCAGTTTCTGTATATGAATACAATTCAACATTTCATGAGTATGTCAAGAATTGAGGTATTTCTCAATGATTTGATATTTGACAGTATAAGGAGATGCCACTAGCCATTTTCAGGCTATACATTTTTCCTACTCTCTAAGGATACTTTTTTTTTTTTAGTCCATATCTTGCAATTGTCTTCAAATCCATACCTACACTTATTTATAAATTTAAAACTTTTAGAATAGGGAAAATACATGAAATATATTCCTATAGTTCTACCTTCACTTGTAGAAATACATAGAGGAATCATGTGCTTCTAGCAGAAGTGACTTTTTTCTCTCTATAATGCCATTATCTTGCTTTTGAGTATATACAGCTAAGTGGAAAATAAAATGAACTAATAATATCACCTAATACATACACTAGTCACACCAAAAGATAAAAGGGAATTTGGAAAAGCCAATCCTAACTCTTGTAGTTACCTCAATTAAGTAGTGGTTGCCCTGTATGTGACCATCACAAAGCCCCGTATTAGCTTTGGCAGGACTAAAGCAGCCATTGGTGTAGGCAACACTATAGCATTCTGTGTTGAGAACCAGCAGCAGAAATAGCAAGGTGTGATGCAATGTGGGTAGTGGGTCACTTCCTGAAACTTGTGCTTTTAACATTACCATTTAAAAATTAACAAACTCACTAGACATGTAATGTAACAGACTATAATGCATGAATCCAGGTTCATTAAACTAATGCATTTTTTGAAAAATAAAATATGACAGAACATTTCATTATTGAAGCAGATATGAAAAAAAGTGTTATGCTGCTATTTAGGATGTGCCTTGTGTGTCGTGGAATTGAAATATTTCCAAATCATCAATAATTAAAATGATGAGAATCCATCATTTCACTGACATTTACTTCTACATGAAAAGATGGCCTATTTTAAACATGCTCACACATATTCTTGTCAATCACAAGCTGTCACAGCAAATTATTTCATTTTGTAGATCACATGGCAGTTAGCAGAAAATCTCTAGGTTTAAATTTAGATCTTAGGTGTAGTATCAAGAACTCCCTTCATGGATTTTTTTTTCTGTGACTACATCTTCACAAT